TTCACTTTCCATCCTACCTTGTACGAGCAGTGTGAGATTTCATATCTATTTAAACGAGTGCTGGGTTGGTTGAATGATTGTACGTGTCTGAGCGAACGTGAATGTATTGTGTTTTGTGTGTACCTATTTGTGGGGATTTCTTGTGTGTGTAAGTGTGGCTAGCTGTCATTCGTGAGGGCGCATGCGCGCGCATGTTCGTGGGTTCGTGAGGTTCATGCGTCAACAAACGTTCACATCATATCAATAACAAATGAAGTTATACTTACATTTAGTGGTGATCAACACAAAACACGAGGGGAGTTTTGCTATTGAACTTTTAATAGGTCACATATGCGACAAAACAAAAACGTGAGCAATAGGATACGGAATATACCACATAAAGAAACGTGTAATGCTTGAAATTCATTGTAAAGACAACATAAAGAGGGTTTGGTGCAAGGTAAAGAAAAATCATGGGCACATGAAATATATACACAGAAAAGATGGCACACATGATGTATAAGGACGATGAATAAAGTGGAATCATAATTAGTCAAATTAGTGCAACGGTAAAGGTTAAGAAGCCACGGAATTGGTAATGACGACGCTAATGAGGGAGAGAACAATTAAACCGCATGATATCAACTAGACATCCTGCTGGCTGAGACAGAGTTAACGAGTGTGGAGCCTGAAGGACCGCAGAATGGGTCCTACGCGCCCGATATAAGGGAAAGGCGGAGATCTGGAGGGGACTCTCCGTCTCTGGCTATCTGACTGGTTGCAATCGCTGGTTGATTTGAAGTAAGCACCGTTTTCCTGCGAACAGACCATTCTTTTCCTTCCTTTCTTTTCTTTCGACTAACTTTCCGGTTACTGTTGCCGCCAAGTCACCCTCTCTATAACTCAACGTCTTCGCCGCTACAATATGGTCGCTCAACGCGATCGACATAATGGTGATCCACTTCGCACTGCCAGAAATTCGTCCTCATGGAATTTGTAGCTCATGCCAAGTAAGTCTGGGTGACGGCCTGGAAATTTGTCATTTTCTACACAAAAATCGAACAAAGAGAAGATAATTTTACTGAGGAAATCATTCCTTTCAAGTGAATTCCATAGAGCACTGCTACCACCGATCGTAGGTGCGCGGCACACCACTGGTCTTCTTCTGGTCAGTTTAACTTCTTTGCCTGGAATCATCTGTGTATTTGTTCTTACGTTATATCATAACATAAACGATAACTGACTTCCTCAATTTTTATCCTAATTTATATGCGCGTGCTTCCATTCTTTCTTTTGACAGAAAGAAATTGATTTTCCGCTTTACATGCAGCATTCCTGCTTATGGTCAGCTACAGGGACGCCATCTTTCAGTGACCAGGTGGATTGGTGTAACGCTTTTTTGGTGTAAGGATGGAGAGAGAGAGAGAGGAAGCGAGAGAGAGAGATAGAGAGAGAGAGAGAGAGAGAGAGAGAGAGAGAAGGGGGAAGAGAGAGAGACCAGCGATACCACTAATCTAAACATACTTTACAGATTAAGATGTGACTTCACTGTGTCTGCACAACGACACAGCAATGCTTGATATGTCGGTTCGTGGCTTGCCGAGTAATCTACTATTCAATAATTGAGCAATCGCACTCGCAGATAACTATTATATTAATTATATATTATTACGCAGCGAACGAATGCCGCCGGCCGAGAATTACACAGCTGAGAAAATGGAGCGAACAATGACGGTAAGAATAATTTATAGTAATAACGTTTATATTTGTAATAATTTTATATTTGATGTCTCACAATTTAATTCGCACAAGAACCGTTTAGTAGATATTTTAAAATGTCTTTCTAGCAACTATTTTTCAAAATTCTTCTCTGCTATAGATTCCTTCAGACTGAAACAAGATTAATTGATGTGAGATGTAGTAATCAATGCATAAAGAAATGAATTATATACATGTAAACTATATGTACTATTACACGTATATAATGAAACAATTATAAATATAATGATCCCGTGCTATATATTTGTTGTTATAAATTTAATCAAACATAACCAGCAATGGCAATGGCAGCTTTGATGTTGGTTAATGAAAATGGTATCCTTTGATATTAACGCTGTTCGCTTAGATGGCCTATAACACAAGTATAAAATATCAATATACTATCTATGTAATGTGAAATACTTGCATATAATATCCATATAGTGTAGCGATGCTGCGCTCGAGCTCATTAATTAGGCACGTTGCCGAGTGAGCGGAGCGGGCGACAGCTGGTAGCGGGGCCACAGCTGTTACAGGTGTCGAACGACTGACTAGATAGAATGGTAACTTAGAGAGCGGAGAGCAGGGTACGTGACACGCGACATCATAAGATGCGGCCCTCGCAAGAAGGGGTCGGCAGAACGGGAACCTGGAGAACCCAAGAGGTGACAGGATAATGCCCGGATGGCGGGCACAGGAATCGCCTGGCTATATAAGGCGAGCGGCACTCAGGCACGGGGAGCTCGAATCTCTCTCTCCCTGTGTCCTGCCTTGCCACGCTACATTTGTACGCTACGTCTTGTACTTGTACTATTATGGCTAACAATACAGTCGCTTGTGGTACGTTACTTCGCTAGTTCGTGTTTGCTTTATGTCTTTGCGCATCGTCTACCCCGTTCCCTTACCCGCTGCCTACCTCACCGAAGTAATCTAAGTACGAGGTTACAATAGTAACTACACAAGGTCTATAAAATCAGGCGCAAATAAAAGCACAATTTGTTGTGTACGTAACCCCTAATAAAAATGTAGATCATATCAGGAATGTATAATATAGACACTATATATTAGACATCTATATTATACACTCCCGATAATATGAGTAGTAGAAGGTAGGCCTATAATACCGCGTTGATATCTGCGGTCGCTCACACGTTGATTGACATCTATGTCCCTCGCTCAGCTTCCTTCTTCTTCTACCGCCCCATGCAGCTATCTTCCCTGCCGCATTTTCTCAGTCTCCCATCCCCTCTCCCCCTAAGCAAGCTATATTATGAAGTTTGCCTCAGACGGTACTGCACGCCTAACACGGTGCGCGCGCATACGCAATATCTTCCGTGAGAAATTGTATTTTGCAAAGATTATGCATTTAAAATGAAGAGCAGTTATCCTAGCATAGATTTATATGATAACATTCCATCGGGTGACATCATTTAAGAAATCGGAGAAAGACCTTGCATGTTAGGTCCCGGCTACGTATACCAGCCACGTACTACACAATCTGGCCACGTTAGTGTGTTAGCACATGCGCAATATCTCACCAGAGAGAGTTATATTTTGTTATGAATATGCATTTAAAATGGTTAGGGGATATCTCAGCATAGATTTCCCTAATAAACCTTTATCCGTAGACCTGTGTTTATAATTAGGAGAGCGCCCTAGCATGTCGGATACAAAACACCTACTTTATGCCCTCGCGTCCTTACCCTTGCCTCCCCTGTCTCTCCCTCAGCTTACTTCTTCTTCTACCGCCCCTAGCTATCTTCCCTGCCGCCTTTTCTCAGTCTCCCATCCCCTCTCTTCCTCAGCAAGCTATATGATGAAGTTTGACTCAGACGGTACTGCACGCCTAACACGGTGCGCGCGCATGCGCAATATCTCCCGAGATCAATCGTATTTTGCAAAGATTATGCATTTAAAATAAAGAGGAGTTATCCTAGCATAGATTTATATAATATCATTCCATCGGGTGCCATCATTTAAGAAATCGGAGGAAGACCTTGCATGTAAGGTCCCGGCTGCGTATACCAGCCAGTACACAATCTGGCCACGTTAGTCTGTTAGCGCATGCGCAATATCTCACCAGAGAGAGTTATATTTTGTGATGAATATACATTTAAAATGGTTAGGGGATATCTCAGCATAGATTTCCCTAATAAACTTTTATCCGTAGACCTGTGTTTATAATTAGGAGAGCGCCCTAGCATGTCGGATACAAAACACCTACTTTATGCCCTCGCGTCCTTTCCCTTGCCTTCCCTGTCTCCCGCTCAGCCTTCCTTCTTCTTCTACCGCCCCCAGCTATTTTCCCTGCCGCCTTTTTTCAGTCTCCCATTCCCTCTCTCCCTCAGCAAGCTATATTATGAAGTTTGCCTCAGCCGGTACTGCACGCCTAACACGGTGCGCGCGCATGCGCAATATCTCCCGAGATCAATCGTATTTTGCAAAGATTATGCATTTAAAATAAAGAGGAGTTATCCTAGCATAGATTTATATAATAACATTACATCGGGTGACATTATTTAAGAAATCGGAGGAAGACCTTGCATGTAAGGTCCCGGCTGCGTATACCAGCCAGTACACAATCTGGCTAAGTCAGTGTGTTAGCGCATGCGCAATATTTTACCAGAGAGAGTTATATTTTGTGATGAATATACATTTAAAATGGTTAGGGGATATCTCAGCATAGATTTCCCTAATAAACTTTTATCAGTAGACCTGTGTTTATAATTAGGAGAACGCCCTAGCATGTAAGGTACAAAACACGCACTTTATGCCCTCGCGTCCTTCCCCTTGCCTCCCCTGTCCTTCGCTCAGCCTCCTTCTTCTTCTACCACCCCCAGCTATCTTTCCTGCAGCCTTTCCTTAGTCTCCCATCCCCTCTCCCCTCAGCAAGCTATATTATGAAGTTTGCCTCAGACGGCACTGCATGCCTAACACGGTGCGCGCGCATACGCAATATCTCCCGAGAGAAAGCATTAGCATTTGATGAACAGTACATATCTTTAACGCCGGTTAAACTGATGGTGCAGTTAAATGACGGCACGTACCAATTACCAATATTAGTTACATAAATAACCAGGGGAAATGTGTGACGATACATTAATGTTCAACGTGAAAACGGCTCTATACATTGGCCCTATTCTTACGATCTCGACACGTGGCGCCCCCTGGTTAGCGTGGGGTGCTAATGTTCAAAACTAATCATTGTCTACCATAATTTTAGTTGCAGCTTAGCATAGAGATGAAATACCAGTCTTTAATTCTGTTCCTAACTTATTGACTGGTTATACAAGGTAGGCTGATGTAAAGGCGTTATATATAGAAACGCCTTGTATAGAGGCTGACTAGGGTCTCTATAGATAAGAGCAAAAAAAGGAAAGAACCTGCCGATGAACCTTGCTTACTTGCGCACGCGCGTTTGTGCTTGCATGCCTGCGTGTGCGAGCGTACGTGTTGCGTGTGTGCGTGTGTGCGTGCGTGTGTTTGTTTGTTTGTTTGATTGTTTATGTATGTGTGTGTGTGTGTGTGTGTGTTTACGCGTGCGTATGCGTGCGTGCGTCCGTTCGTGCGTGCGTACGTGCGTGCGTGTATACTTTATAAGGACAAGCAACACACGAATTCTTACGTGTAACGGTGTTACTTTTATTTTTACCCCAATAGCGGGAATAATTAGCCGACATCTCTCCGATTATGTTAACAGATTATTAAGAATTATAAGCAACCTAACGGACGATGGCTCGCATTTTGTAAGGCTTGGATGCCAGAACAATGCTCAACAAACCACTGTCTTCTGGAACAGGCCCGCCCTCTGGCGGCACGAGATTAAACCTCTGCAGAACGCTGGCAAAGAAGAGGAACGCCTCCTGGCGGGCAAGAAGCTCGCCGATACACGTTCGCAGTCCAGCAGAGAACGGCAGCAGCGTGTCCGGTTTCATCAGGTTTCCATCCGAATCCAGGAATCGTTCCGGTTGGAATTCGTTGGGATTCTGCCAGAGCGCGGGGTCGTGGTGGATTCCCCACAGATTCGGACCGATGATAGCTCCCTCTGGAATTCTGTATCCGGCTAAGGTTGTCTCCTGGAGAGTTGTAATTAAGAGAGCATCGTTAATAATCGCATCATGGATCCTGGAATATCATCGATTGTATAATAGCCAGTAACGCGTTACCTTTGATGACATGACCCTGAATGACACAGTAAACCTTGAATAAATTCAACCAAACGGTTTACTTTTATAAAAAAAAGGGAACGGGTGGGTGAATTCATTCTTGGATTTTCCATAAAACAGATGCACCTAAAGAAGATATTCCCTAAGAAGAATCTCCCAGCTCATAGGTAATTAAAATCGCAATCCCGTCTTCCCCACATCTCGCTTAAGTTCTATTGCCGAATCATTAAACATTTTCCCGGTACATCTCGGTTCACAGATAACTAAAATGGTCTAATCGCGCGTCCCGATAATGAACCGTTTCCACGTATGAATTCATTTTGTAATTTATAAAAAAATAAATGAGTTCATTAAAATATCTCCTGACCTTCACCGCAGCATGAAAGACTCCCAGAGGAACAACGGAACTTCTTCGAAATACTTCGAACAAGGTGGCCTGTGTGTAGAGCAAACTAGCCTGATCATTCAGACACGGCAGTCGACTTCTTCCTATCACACGATCCAACTCTTCCTGAACCTAGGGCAATAAATACAGTGGTTACGGTAATTTATTAGAATTAATTTAGTAAATTATATTTCTCGTTAATTTCCGAGGGAGAGAGTTTGGTTGGAACATCACTTTAGTCAATATAATTAAACTGTGGTTTCCCATAGGCGTAGTAGCCAAATATAACTGGGAGGCTGTAGAAATATACCAGAAATGTGCGTGGCGTGAAATTGGCGGCAACTCGTATTGGTCATTTTTTTCTCATAGGTAGGCCTATAGCTAAACAGTAGAACCGTGAACATCAGACGTGAAAGGTGGGGTTTTCTTGCACATGTATACCCAACGGTACACTGTGACTTCTATGAAGGCCATGGTCGACGGGTCTGTCCACTGTGACGGACTGAGCCATGGTGCTGATGCACACAGTCGTGACCCGGCTGGCTGTGCAGTGCTGCATTACGTTGTTAACGCGTTATACCTTGCTCTGCTTGTCTGGATGTCGGATCATGTAGAGGAAGGCCCATTTTAGCGTGGTTGTGGTCGTCTCGGATCCCGCGCCGAAGATATCACTGACCAGCACGAGCAGCTGCTCCTCTGCACCAACAATAAACGTTCGCTGTTGTTTGCTTACGGCAGTAGTGAGGCCGGTACACGTGCCGGCGAAAGTGCGAGAGGTAGGTGGGGATACTATGTGCGTTCATGACAAAAGGGTGAAGCAATACTGTGAAACTGATATAGCGAGTATCAAAATATCTGTGTTCGTATGAGTAAACAAAGAAGGTGCTGGATGGTATGAACTATAAGTGCTGGTGCGTATTAAATAATAAACTGAGTGCGCACCAGAGTCAGTGGGCGTCTTGATGGGATGGACTCGGTATGGCTAATGGTACCAGCGCGCACCCTATTACTCGTCTTATCGTTCTCTTCCACGCTCATTTATTTCGATTCCGCCCTCCATATAGCTTCATCCACCACACGATTCTCTGCTACATTCGATGTTTCTTTACAGCAAATACTTGGTGTATGTGATTGGTGTGTAGGAGCGACACCTGGCGGCGCCAACCTGAGAAGGTCGTGTGTTTTCCTGCCTTCCGCAGTTCGATCATCTTCGTCAGGTAGACGTCAATAAAATCGCGAGGATTCTCGGTGTCTAATCTTGCCGTGTGTTCGGCTATTTCCTTCTCAAAGAAATCTGTCTTCACTTCGTTGTAATACGTTTTAAACCTGTAGGCAGAGAATAGGGTTAAGGCCATACGAACGGCAAGACTATACGTCGGCAAGCAGACATATTATTGCGATCGTGCCACCCGAGATTCTATACATGAAACGTGGTTTTGAAATGACACCGTTAAATGGCAGTAGGAACGTCGTTTCTGATATTATTCGTAGACGTCAATGAGAGAAACAATAGGGTAATGGGCACACAGCTCTTTTGATCAAACTTCACGCTTTCCGTATGTACCTTATGTCTCCGTACGTACCTTCTAAAGTTGCTGTTTGGCAGGAGGCTGATCCCCGGTATGAAGTTGGAAGCGTCGGGAGTGACCACTTTAGATAGTCTATACAGACAATCCAGTAAGCGAACGAAGTAAGGATCGTCGTGTGTGAAGTGCTTGCCGAAAATAAGAGAGCTGATAATAGCTGAAACACTGACGGTCAGATGGTTGTGCACGTCGAAGCCGCTGTGTCGATCCTCTTGCTCAAGTATGTCCAAGAAGACGGTCACCTCTTCCATGATCTTTGCTTCCATCGTGAAGCGACCCATACCGAAATCTCGTAAACATGTTAAGGAGAAACGGCGATTTTCCTTCCATGCTGGACCTTGACTGAGCAAAACTCCTGTCAACACAGGCAGCAGTACATTATCAGCATATAGCATTTGTACGAGTCACGGGTACAAGTATAAGGTTCAAGGCATAAACGGTGTTACACCGCAGACCGACAGCATATTTTAGTGCGTTACGCATAAATGCGTAGCATGCGTTCACGCGTATATTCTGGCAGTGTAATGCGTATAATGTCCATGGTGATTAGTCAAGAATATTATGATAGCATTTCTCAACAAATTGGGAGACTATAACTTTTCCATAGACTATTAACCGAAATCCCATATAGCCTATGGTAATGGCGAATTAGTAGTGGTCTGGTAAAAAAGGCATACTTTTTGTACATTTAATTATAGACTGACTGCATAGGTCGCTATTGGACGTTAAGAGTCAGTCAATGCGTTAAAAGAAAAAATACCCCGCATAAATACTCCGTGGCTACTCCTAGGGTCACCACACAAGATCTGGACGACAATACAGTGAGAAGGGAACTACATTACAATACGCGATGGAAGCTAGCAAATCGGGCGATGTAGTCAGATTCGCGACTTAAGCACCATGCGCGTGCACTCTGGTAAGCACTGGGTTATTACACACACGCACACACACACACACACACACACACACACACACACACCACACAAACAACACACACACACAACACGACACACACACACACAACAACACACACAACACCACATACACCACACCACACACAACCCCCACACAATCACACACAACACACACCACACACACACACACACACACACACACACAATCACACACGCACGCACGCACGTAATTTTAGGTCTTTCCGTGTAGTAATCAGTTTGATGTTCGTGTGAAGGTCGCCCGGCCGACAGTCGCTCCTTTAGACGACGGCTCCTAAGCGACGACTTAACGTCTGCTAAGCACGATCAGCAGCTTCGTTGCCATCTCACGTGGAATATCGGGGCAGTAAGATTTTCGCCCATTCCTGAACTGGACGTGTATATCGGCTCGCGTGGAACAGTAGAGAAGGCCGATGAGGGGCAGCCGTGTCAACGCGGATGCTCATGGCGGCAGGTCAGACGCAGGTCCGTAGAAGAGCGTTCCACACGTAGTAGGCGGCGCAGCACGGAGCACGATCGGCATCCAACCCAGTAGATGAGATTCATCGTTGCGTCTGCACTGACGCTAACACGCAAAACTAGAATAAAAACTACGAGTGTGTAATTCCCGTCATCTGCGCGCGATATGCTGTGACTGGCGCGCGCGGGTTGCACTAAGCCCTGTCGCTAACACACAAACTTTAAGTTTGGCAACTCGAGCAAAACTCGAGTTCGAGCAAACTGCAGCAAACTCCGAGTCACTGGTACTTGACTGTGATTCCATGTTCAATGTTCCAATGTTTGTCTATCTGCAGGATCACATGACTACAAACTGTCCATTTGATTGGCTGAGTTATTCCAAACACAGCTAACTCGAGCAAAACTAGTTTGTCAGAAAAGGTTGCAGGCCTAACTTCTGCAAACTTCTGCGAAACTAGTTGTTCGAAGTTTATCAACTGTCTAACACTTGGCAAACTTTGGGAAAACTTTCTGGCCAAAACTCGGGGTTTGCTACGAGTTTGCTCGAGTTTTGCAAACTAAAGTGTTGCTAGTGTAGACAGGCTTTAAGAGACTGGTGTAAATATTACTTACGCCCTTAATATATTCAGAAGTAGATATATTCCTATTATCTACTTCTGATATATAGTATATAGGTCGCTGGTGCATGCAACTATATATAAGCATAGGGAAGGAGGTACCTGTGGAGTGTTTGATCGACCTTGATCGGTACGCAATTTTCAGTACGATCTAGACGGAGTTACAATGTATTACGACTCTCTCTCTCTCTCTCTCTCTCTCTCTCTCTCTCTCTCTCTCTCTCTCGTCAGCTCGCTCTCATTCTTGTCACGCTCTCTTCTCTCTCATCTCTCTCTCTCTCTCTCTCTGCTCTCTTCTCTCTTCTCTCGCTCCGCTCGCTCTCCATTCTGTCACGCTCTCCTTCTCTCTCTCTCTCTCTCTCTCTCTCTTTTCTCTCTCTCTCTCTCTCTCTCTCTCTCTTTCTGTCACAGCGCGCGCTCTCTTCTCTCCTTCTGTGACTCTCTCTCTCACCTTCTTGTCACGCTCTTCTTTCTCTCAGTCACGCGCTCTCTCTCTCTCTCTCTCTCTACTCCGTCTACTCTCTCTCCTCTCTCATATCTCTCTCTCTCTCTCTCTCCCTTCCTGTCACGCTCTCTCTCTCTCACTGCGCTCTCTCTCTCTCGCTCTGCTCTCTCTCTCTCTCTCTCTCTCTCTCCTTCTGTCACGCTCTCTCTCTCGCTCTCCTCGCTCTCTCCCTCTCTTACCGCAACGAAGGGACCCAGTCTAAGCACGATCGATAGCTAACGTCATGAGCGATGTCATCGAGCAAGGATCGATGGGTCGCCGGCTGCAGCCACTATCCCTGGTAGTCAGTCAGTCGCCCTTGTCCAAGGATATCTAGCGTAGCGATAAAACCGGGAGCTGTGTCAGCGGGGGTCGAAGTAGGCTATGAAGTAGGTCAAACTTGCCCAAAAAACGCATGCGCGCGATTGTGACGTCATCAGAGAGGATGTAGTATTTTTCCCTCTGACGTCGGTACGGAAAAAATCTGGGGTAAATTATTACCAGCTCGATCGGTACTGCTGATGCGGAAACTGTCCTTGCATTTGATGTTCACTTCACACACCCTATATCTTATTGAACGATATATTGTAACAGTGCGGCGCGTAGAGTTTGTAATTAGTAAAAGTATTGTATAAGAATCATACGTACGTGATTTTTGTGTGCGTAGCCGTCAGGCTAGCAAGGCACGCCGTAAATGTGGGAACAATAATGTTTACGTCTTTACGGCGCCAGCGCATGTATGAACCTTCACACCTACAGATAAACGCGCAAACTCGGATGTAGACACCTACGTACGCGACGTGGTGCAGTGCGCTACAGGCGAGTGGCGAGGGGACGCCTTTCGGCCTGCAGTGGCCTTGGGGACCCCTGATGTGACGTCACCTCGCTGGTCCATATAAATATCAGAGCGCGCCTTGGGAGTTTTCAGTTTCCAAACGCGCGCACAGTTATGATTCATGTATTAGACTACATTTCTGGACGCGTGAGCAACAATAAATCCTTGTGCGTGAAACTCATCTCGGACTTACAAAATTATTTGTGTGATCGCTTTTCCTTCAAGCTCACCGCAAACACGAAACGGAAAAAACGGGTTAAGAACAATTAATAACACAACGCAAGGTTTAGAAAACTACATCTGACTATACGATCACATCAACTGACACACCGAACTGAAATCTTAACGCAACTAGGTTTCAATATTTCACGGGGGTATCTTATCATCGGTTTGTTTTTTATTTATTTATTATCATTGGTTACAGTATTTGAGGTAAGGAGGGCTGCAGACAGTAGTGTTCATATCGACCTCGCAATTTGTCAGATTTATTTGTCCGGTGTAATAATAATAGGCGTTCGTATACTAGTTATGTGCCAGTTCGTCGCAAACAATGTGTTAATTATAAATATGAATCGTATGAGAGATTGGGTCAAATGGGTGCATGGATAGACGGCAGACGGACAGACCTATACGGAAAGATGGATGGATGGATGGATGGATGGATGGATGGATGGATGGATGGATGGATGGATGGATGGATGGATGGATGGATGGATG